ACTACACAACGGCTATCCGCAAACGCCGGTGAAACAAATTCGAAATAAAGTCACATTGGAAAGGGAACTATTGTAAATCAATGCAGGTTTTATTCAACTACAGAAGAGACAGGTCGATGCAAATTAAACAAACTCTGAACTCTGGAAATACCTCATTCATAGAGTTCCTTAGTACCAGAGGTCGCCGATCACGACCATACAACGTAGTTTGCGACATCGCTACCGGTGCATGCTAGCTGACAAGGGGGTTTCCGATTAAGGTAACCAAGATGGCATCGCAGAGTGCACGATTTTTCCGCGGTGTTTAAAAACAGCATCTCATTGCCGATTTTTCGGTTATTTCCAGGGTATTTTTTTTATTTTTAATTAACCAAGCATTTTATGTTTGTGTATTTTAACACTGAAAAGTTAGCAATGACAGCAACAACTGTGCTGTTTGCCAATTGCATCGCAATTCTATCAGCACGATAATCATTACATCGAAACGAAAAATGTTTACTTCAGTGTTAAAATGCTGTTGGAGTAAAAATTTGTGGAAACATTTTTTAGTTTCGCCCACAATGCGAAAAAGCTTGAAATCTGTTTTTTGTAGTTTGCTAATTGATCGCGCTTGCTCCGTAACTGGGGCCAGCAATCATTTGCATATAACATCAACAGTGACTTGTCAATCAAAGAGCAAGACAAACAAACTTTCAGGACTTCTAATCACATACGCGTGCCTCGGTTCCCTATATTTTAAAATTGATTTTTGAGTATGTTCCAACAATGACAATGCTCCGAAATTTTAACACGATCTAGCCAAGACTGTCTGGGTGAGAAAAAGCAAAAAAAAACAAGTCATGAATGACACTGCCTTCGCTAGTTGTCATTCTAAAGTTGCATGGACATAAATTGGCAAACATGATTTCTATGGCATTTTCAAGTTTATAGCACTCTCCATCCAGGTCAGCATTATTCTCAGCAAGGAAACCAGATAGCACCAAACCAGTACAACAGGTAAAATGACAAGGAAGTATACAAATCAGATCTGCAAATATGTCAGTGTTGTGTCTGATTGGATAAACTAGTTTGTGGCCCTGGATCAGTTTCAATATCTCTAATAAGAACAAGATTACTTCTCATACGACAATGATACAAATAAAGTGCAAAAATCCAGAAGAATATTATCAAGTTTTTATTATCATACATTAATATTAACAAATCGTGTGAAATTTTATGTACAGAGAAAACACATATTTACACCTTGGTTGACAGAACTTCTCAAAAGTAAACAAGTCATTGTCAATGACACGTCCCCGTTCCGTTCATATTTGAGTGACACATACATTCAAAGCAGATCATGACCGAAATGCACCTGCATATGTACAACACATTGTACTAAATCTGAATTGTAAATGCACATCACACAACCAAGATAAGGGATAACAAACAAGCAATTTATTGAGATAAAATAAATGAAAAAAACAAATAATAAATACAAATACATGTAAAATAAACCACTCTGTATAATCAATCTATTAATTAACTACAAAATTGAAAACAAGTCAAAATAAGGCTTGTAAATAAAAAACAAT